TGTTGCTAGAAATTCTAGCCATGAATTGGAATGAGGAACTCCTTGGTTACTCATGTCCTTTGGGTCCAAATGTTCTCTTTTCACTCCAAAACCATATTTACACCTTTGCACTAGTAGTTATTTGGATTTTTTTTGGTTCACCTAAGTTTTGAATGGTTGAACCATAATACTTTATCTTGGTTGTTCTTAGGATTTGTTGGTGATCAAGAGCATAACCCGGGGGCGAACTTTTGATGTTATTTTGCTTAAACTGGTGAGTGTCAAGTGCATGTTTCTTAATATCTTGATTTGAATGATACCACGTATTGTGTTGAATATTGAACTTGATGAGGCGAGGGTGTACTTTATCACAATCGTCCTCCCCTTCTTGAATGATCTTATACTTGTTTGAACTTGATTGACCTGTATTTGTATTTGTGTTTGTGCTTGACTTGTAAGTGTTGAGTTGCAGTATGTATCACACTTATTTCGAGTGGGAGGTGCCTCTCATTCCCATCTCAATACTTTTTATTTTGATTAAATCGATTGGAGGGTTGGCTCATCGACCCTAGTGCTGAACGGCAGTATGTACCACACTCAATTCGAGTGGGGGGTGCCTCTCATTCCCGTCTCAATACCTCTATCTTGATTAAGTCAATTGGAAAGTTATCTCATCAACCATACTTGTTCTTGATTGGGTATATTCGAGTATTACCACCACTATTTCTGTTTGGTGTTTGGGACCGGTAAGAGGTATGTTGGGTGGACAAAAAACTGGTGTAAAGTGGAGATTTACGGTCATTGTTTCGTCTCTATAAACATTGACGGAGTGTCAACCGGTTTGGAACAAGTTAATGCAACGGTGAAATTAGCTCTTGAGAGTCATCTATATCCTTTACTTGAACGCTCTGTATGAATTGTGGTGTTTACTTATTTCATTATTTGATGCTTATATTTGAGTGACTAAAAGTTAGTTATGTGATTTGTGACTGCGTGACCTTTTGGCACCTCATTGGGCGAAAGCTCACCCTATTCTCCTTTGTTTCCTTACAGGGGACAAAGTTTGGGAGCGTGATTTTGGAGAAAGAGTTGAGGTAGTTTTAGTTTTGTTTTTGTTTAAGCTCTTGTGTATTAGTAAATTTCATATGTATTTGTATAAGGTTGTGATGTGATACCTCACTTGACACGATCTAGACAACGAATCACCAACAATTTGGCAGTGGAAATTTGACCCAATCTAATCCCCGAAGTAGCGAACACTATTGATACTATCTCAACCCACTATTTAACGAATTAGCGAACCAAACTATAGTTAGAGGAACGTCACAATCAAGGAGTTACTTGATTGATAAGTTCACTTGAATAACTTGAGAAAGATTCTCAAATATTCAAAGAATCTCTTTTGGAAAGAGAAAAGTGAAATCTCACAATTTTATTGATTGAAAAACTGATTTGGAAGGTCTCTTGCCTTGGCTATATATAGCCATACACTTGACAATCTAAAGTGAATTGGATTCACTTAAACTAGATCTAAAGTGAATTGGATTCACTTGAACTAAAAATACCTAAGTAAAAACTCGGCTAGACTAGGATTTGTTTGGGCTATTGTTCGGCCAACTAGAAGGCTATTTTGGCCGAATTTGTTTAAAAAGAAATAAATAAATAAACAGCAACTAAAATGACAAATAAGTCCTTACTCAACAAGACCAAATGAACAACTTGAAACTTTGAATATCTTTCGTATGTGAGATCTTTGTGGACTAGAGTTGGGGGGGCTCCGAATCATATCATTCCTCTCTTCTTGAAAGCAATTTGTCCACAAATCGACGGTGCATTTAAAGGACAGCAATGTTGGAAATAGATAAATGACTACAAGTCATGTCGCATGTCATTTGGTCAACTTCATGAGACTCTCAAACAAGGACATGCGCCAAGGTAGGAAAGAGCTTGTGAGAATTCCAGGTTGCAATCCAAAACTCTCTAATTAGCCTTTGGTCATGGAATTTCACATTGGGACCTTAATTGTGCAAAGGTGTAAAATCCAGTCCTAGTTAACATTGATTTGGATCATCTTGTATGGATAAAATGGAAGCAACTTGTTGCATGGATGAGGCACTAAACAACTCATGGAGGCCCTTCGTCGCACCCCCAATACCACGACGACCATCACAGTGCATATAGTCTCTGCTTATTTTCACTTTCTACAATATTTTCTTCCATGTTCTCTAGAATTTGCTAGTCTAAAATTTCTTGAATCTAGTGTTATTGTCATTCCACTGAAAATTATCATAATTGGAGCATTGGCAATAGCGATAGGGTATGGCATGGTATGCGACTCGAGATAAAACGAGATAAAAAAGGGTGATAATTTTGATGCATATATGAGCTTCGTGAGATTGATCTTTTCAATAGGACACTCCCATGTGTTACTATATTTTTTTAAAAAAAATTTAGGTTTTTATGCTTTATTTTTGTATTTTTGAAATTTTGCTGACATACTTCTTATACCGAATAACAAAATCTTTGGTAAAGTCACTTTTTAATATGAAAATTTTTATAATTGCAAAGGATATATCTCATTTTGGGCATATTCCTCCGAATTTTTCAATCTACAGGGTGCTTTGGTTGTTTAAACTGGTATGATGAGAAAAAAAATTTATAACACATATCAAATTTTATTTTTTATTCTTCTTTTATCCTTTGTTGTTTTAATCTTTCATAGTTTGCTCAACGCTGTTTAGGCATTGAAGATTGGTTCCTTTACCTTAGAACTTTTAACGAGGTGAACGAATCCAATTGTTGAAGGAAGTCTTGTACTCCATAAGTCCCAAAATCTAGACGATTCTCCGCAAGTTTGAAAAGGTGTAGAATCCATAACCCATTGAACCTCCAAATTGTTACCCAAGAATGATTTTCACCCACAATAAAGAATGAAAAGACACTTAGGATATAGTTAGAAAGATGTGAATTTTTATATCTTATTATATACGGAACTAATTACATTAACACTTTTTAGTATGTGATATATATGAAATAAAAGATTATTGAAAAATGTGTAGAAGGTATATTCATAGGAAATGGAGAAAATTATAGTTACAATCTTCGAGCCAAATTTAATTGTTTCTGATTTTTACTAAATACTGAAATTGGCCTTGGTAATGTTTAATTTTTATGTGAAAGTAAGCATTTTGTCGATTAGCATGTCAACCTGAGTTGATCCAATCCAACTCGCTTACATTCGTGTCACTAATAGGATTACCCAATAATAACCCACTAAAATCTAGACCATGTTAAAATCTATTAATTTCGAATTATGTTCGAATAGTATTATCATGTCGTGTTAGAGATTACCATCGCTAACTAATTTCATTAATTCCCTTGGTAAAATCATGGGATAACGCTCTCCCGACCCATTCGATCATTTCAAAATAAAAAAAGTAATGAAAAATAAAATAAAATAAAATAAAAAATTATAAGAATTAAATACTCCTATTTCCCATATGGTTTAAATTACTTCTAAAAAAGTAAAATAGAATGCCGGCATCGTTTCAACCATCATCCTATCACTTTTTCTTGCGCACCCAATGTCACGACGACCACCACCATCTATATAGTTTTTACTCGTACAATGCCGGCCACCCTCTTACCTTCTCCCACCCGCCATCGTTCTAACCATCATCTCATCGCCCTTCATCGCACCCCCAATACCATGACGACCACCACCGTCCATATAGTCTCTGCTTATTTTCACTTTCTACAATATTCTCTTCCGTGTTCTCTAGAATTTGCTAGCCTAAAATTTCTTGAATCTAGTGTTATTGTCATTTTACTGAAAATTATCATAATTGGAGCATTGGCAACAGCGATAGGGTATGACATGGTATGCGATTGGAGATTAAACGAGATAAAAAAGGGTGATAATTTTGATGCATATATGAGCTCCGTGAGATTGATCTTTTCAATAGGACACTCCTATGCGTTACTACATTTTTTTAAAAAAAATTTAGAATTTTATGCTTTATTTTTTGTGTTTTTCAAAATTTTGTAGACATACTTCCTATATTGAGGAACAAAATTTTTGGCAAATTCACTTTTTAATATGAAAATTTATATAATTGCAAAGGATATATCTCATTTAGGGCATATTTTTTCGAATTTTTCAATCTACAAAGTGCTTTGATTGTTTAAACTGGTATGATGAGAAAAAAAATTTATAACACAAATCAAATTTTATTTTTTATTCTTCTTTTATCTTTTGCTGTTTTAATCTTTCATAGTTTACTCAACGCCGTTTAGGTATTGAAGATTGGTTTCCATTACCTTAGAACTTTTAAGAGGTGATCGAATCCAATTGTTGAGGGAAGCCTTGTATTCCATAGGTCCCAAAATCTAGACGATTTTTCTCAAGTTTGAAAAGGTGTGGAATCCATAACCCATTGAACCTCCAAATTATTACCCAAGAATGATTCTCACCCACAATAATAAGAAATGAAAAGACACTTAGGATATAGTTAGAAAGATATGAATTTTTTATCTTATCATATATGGAACAATCTGACTGTACCATATCCTAATTCTCTAGATCAGTCATTAATAAAATGGGGATTTCATGCACAATCACACTGTCCAAAACACAAATACACACATATGATGAACGGAGATTGGAGTTTATGGTATAGAGTATAGAGTATAGTGGTCCTATTTGTCTACGGGAGGGGTAACAAGAAAACGGGAAAAGGCCAAATGGGGAATGAGTTTGCATGGCCTTGAACAAGACTTCTCAAATAAGAACATCTAAGCCCTGTTAGTTTGTTGCCCCCACACTCCACGTCTTTGTTTCGCAGATAATCTCTCCGTCTTCTTCTTTTTTCCCATAAATACTACTACTACTCCACATTCTCCTCAATTCATCCCCACCTCCTTCCAATCCTTCATTCTCTTTAGCACTTTTTCCTCTTAATACATACAATTTCTATCTCTTCTTTGCCTAGCTGAGCCTTTTTCCTCTAAAGTCCATAAACATGGCTCTTAAGAAAGGAACAAAACATGCCGCTACCCAAACGGCGGCCCTCAAACAAATCCTCAAAAAGTGTTCAAGTTTTGGAAGGAAGAATACGGGTCATGATCATCACGACAATAGCCTTCCACATGATGTCCCAAAAGGCCATTTTGCAGTATATGTTGGCCAAAATAGGACCAGATACATCATCCCCATTTCTTGGCTGGAACACCCGGAATTCCAGAGCTTGTTACAACGAGCTGAAGAAGAGTTTGGCTTCAACCATGAGATGGGCCTCACCATTCCTTGCGATGAAGAAGTTTTTTGCTCTCTATTTTCCATGATCAGATAATTAAGGGAGCTAATGAAGCACGATGGAGTTTCTTGTCATTTGTAGAGGTGGATTAAGGTCTACTATAACATGGATGATGGGCACCACCGGTTACTTAAACTAAGTAGTTTAATTTAAACTAAGTAGTTTAATGCATGGGATATTCTTCATCTGACCACGTGGAAACTAATTGTCTGGTTTTTTTTTCATTAGTGGAGATATATATATACACGAATTTGGAAATTGGAAATTTCTCTTGTTTGTTACAGTCTAAGATACAGCAGAGCGGAGATTTACAGATTTCCGTTTTTTTTTCCCTTTTTCATATGAATACGAACCATGAAGTTGCGCCAAAACTTGACCATTTGCATTATTTCTCTGGTGAATTCTTTCAAGGCTTATGATTCAATCTAAAATTCGTTCTTGGTCTGAGGTTATGAAGTTCTACCGCGGTCGTTAGCAGTAACATGATAGACACTTGCTTCAGTTAAAGTACGTACTTGATCAATCGTCTGCATTAATCTGCAATCAAGGAACTAACCAAGACATGCATGAAATGAAAGCATACTGTATCATGACATAGTTGTCGAAACTTGTTTCTCTTTCTGGTTCGATCATTTTGTCCAAAAAGTTGAAGATTGAAACGTGTTCTGAAATAAATGTTGGGCTGCATTCGATTTTGGTGGTTATATATCAATTTGAAGAATCGCACGGGCACTAAGAATAATATACAAGGTAAGCCAATAATATTCCTATGAAGATTGTAGGGCTCAAAGATATCTACTTACATAGACATAATTAACATATCTAGTCTATGCGGGAATGGGGAGGTTTTCAATTGGGTTCTGATTGCTGACATGGCAGGCTTCCATTGGCCGATTGGTGATCGTCGCTTCGTGTGAATTCGCTCGCGTGAATTGGTTGTCCAGCCGATTGTTTCTTTTCTTTGTTTTGCTTGGACGTCTGGCTTGGAAGTCTGCCGCTAAATTCTGGCTCCACGTGCCATTGGTTTTTTTCCTTTTCTTTTTTTTTTTTTATTGGATTGGAAGTGCTTTGTTATTGGAAAAAAATGGCAGCTCAATAACAAGTTATTGGACCTCAAAATGGCAGCTTGTTATTGATTCCCCGCTATTAATTGTTATTATTTATTTATTTATTTATTTATTATTTTGGCTCCATTTTTTTAACCCAATAAATCGCATTTACTTACCAATTTTTTACAGTTAATTGTTAATAACTAATTAATAGTGTCGTTTTTTACCCAACAAATCACGTTTAATTAATCACTTTCTTGCAATTATTAACAAAAAATGAGCTTTTGTGTGCTTGTCCAAAAAATCACGTTTAATTACCTTTTTTTTTTAAATTTATTAAAAAATGTCCTCTTTTACTTTGGGTTGGCCAACAAATCAGGTTTAATTCAATTTTTTTGCAATTAATTTCACCGAAATTAAGTTATACTTTCACAGTTTTATTGCTTGATAAATCACATTTACTTACCTGTTTTTATAATTATTAATATTTTTTTTACCCAACAAATCGCTTTTAATTACCAATTCTGTGTAGTTATTAGCCAAAATTTAGCCTCTTTTTTTTGCATGCCAATCAAATCACATTTGGTTTCCTTTTTTAACAATTAATTGTTAATTAATTCATTAATAACGTTACTTTTTTGTTGCCTAACAAATCGCAATTAATTACCAATTTGTTGCAATTAATTGTTATTTAATTAATATGTCTACCTTGCTCCAGCTTCAGAAAACGCTTCTCATTAGTCTTTTCTTCTTTGCTTTTGGTGGTCTTAATTAATTGATTCGTAATTAACTACTTTTCTAAATTAACATGCTTAATTACCAATTCTTTGCAATTAATTATGGACCATTTGTTTGTAGCTGGTATTTTGTTTGTTTGGTTTTGATGCATACTTTCTCGATTTCTTCATCCGCCGCTACACACTTCTTGTCATCAGCCTCTTTTTGTTGATGGTTGATTGTACCTGAGCTGTTCACTATATTACCCATCCCTTCTGACTGCATTTACGCTTCCACTCAAAAGCTCTTGTAGTCTTTTTGTCCTTTGCTTGGGTTATGTCTGTAAATCTGCAAAAAAATAACTTTTCCCCGTTGTCAACTATTAGCTCTTTTGCTCCCGTTGATTGACATTGTTTTGTGTTTTGCATTTGCACAATGGTTATGCAGTTTCTCTGGCTTTCCACACCAGATTTTCTACTGATCATCATCATGATCAGTGGTAACGGTGCATCTACTGCTTTCTTTTCCCTATTCTATTGCTCTTGTTTCTTTGCTAGACAGAAAGACCTACCTCATAAGTATTGTTCTTCATTTTTCTTTAGCTATTTTGAACCTTCCTTTTTCCCAATTTATTGGTTTGGTTTTAGTTTGTGCTGGTGTTGCCGTTGCTGCTTCCTGGTGAGCATGTTGGTTTTACGCTTCGCTTTCCTTTGTTTTTCTCTAATTCTTCAAATATTTCGGAATTGCTGTCAAACTGCTTTGTTTCTTATTTCTTGCTTGCTTCTTTGTTTTTCTCAAGCACTGTTCGACCATTTTAATTTTTTTCTGTCCCTTCAAAATTATTGTCACCGAATCAGCTTCTCTTTTTACTCTCTTGTTTTTTTGTCACCTTTCTTATTATCTTTTACATGATTGTGGTTTCTTTGATAGCTTCTACTATTATTCAGTTGTGCGGTGTTGGACTTCTTCATACACACTGGTTAGTTATTCTAATTTTGCTTTTCTTTTATTCTTTTCTCTATATTCTATCCTTTAATTTGTACATCCTTGACATGCATTTTCTGATGCATTATTACTTGCATCCTTGACCATCAATTGTTACTTTTTTTTGGACCACAATTTTTTGTGTGATCTTGTAGATCGCTCACTATTTTTTCATCTGACTACTCACAGGTTTTATCTTCTCACCTTTGTTTTCCCTTTTTTATGTATAATTTCTTCCTTTTTTGCTTGCCATAACTTTTCTGTATAATTCTTTTTTTTTCTTTTGGGAACCACAAAAAATCTCCCTCGGCCTCTAAGAAGAGGAAATAAAAGGGTGTTTCAAAAAAAACAGGCAAGTCTCCATAACTCGCTAAACATATCATGATCTGTTAATATTTTGTTTTGTTTTCTTGTTACCTAGATCGACATGATTTGCATATCTTGAAGACTAATGCATATCTTGAAGACTAATGCATATCTTGAAGAAGGAAAGAATAGTTCAGTTTTTGGCAAAATGTTCACTTCAGGTTTGCCTTTGGTTTTTTTTTTCTGGCATTTTTTTGCTGATCTTTCCTTGGCTAAAAGCAACAAATCACCTTTCTCCCTTCCTTTGTGTCCTTTGCATGTTATGCTTTTGGATTTTATTACAAAAGGAATATATTCAACTTGAAAAAGTATTGCATCGGTATGAACTGGATGTGAAATTTTGGAAATGCATTTTAGATGTTTAGTGCTTAATGTTTGATTATTAATTGGGAAACACAATTTCTTCACTTCATGCTAATCCTTATGCTTTATTGTTATTTTCTTGTTCCTTACTGTGGTCTCACATATCCTATGATAGATTTGATGGTCTAACATATTAATTATTTATGCTCTCTCATAAGTTTCAAATGTTTGTTGTAGCTTGAGATGTTAAGATTTGCGAATTCTTTTCTCAAGGTGAGCATTGTATTGACTCTCTGTCTTTTTCCCATAGAGAAAAGTTAATATGATTTCATTTTTCCTTTTATTTTTCCTAATAAATTTTATTTTTCTGATATTTATTTATACTAAATTTTTGTTAGATGAAGGAACAAAGCAAAAAGGAGGCTAATTTTTCCATTTAGCCTTAATGGTATGTTTTTGATGTTTTAGTGTTCTCTTCATTTTTTTCTTAGCATTTTACTATAATTTTCTGGTCACTTTACCCTATTTACTATTCTTGGAAAAAGTGGAGTATGAAATTTTGTGAAGATACTGCATTTCCTTTTGATTTAGAGTCTGTTTCTTTAGTATTTTACCTATTTTAGTAAATTCATCACTAAGAGGTTGCAAGTCTTCTTTGGCTGCTCCATTCCTTTAAGATCTTTAGTCCAGGTTTAATAGCATTTGTTTTCACCCTATTTCATTTAAAGTTATGATTACTGATGAAATCATTATAAATTTTTTCTCTACTTTGATGGTGTCATTTTTGAATAACTCTTTAGATGTAGTAATTTCTAAGAAAATGATGTACATAGACTGATTGTAGCTTTTGTTACTCGCTGTCCTGTCCCTCCTAATGATTTCATGTTTGAGTAGTCAGAATGATGTAACTGAAATGGCTAAAAGAACCTTAAGATAAGATCTTTGTATGTAGAAAAAAAATGTTCATGTGCTCCATCCCAGTTGTAAGTTTAAATATTGCCGCCCTAAATTTCTAGCCAAATTGTGTATAGTGGGGAATGATCAATAGGTGGTGATTACTCCTTAGCTTCTCCACCTTTTCTCAATTAGGCAACTAGAATTTTCTAATACCTTTATGTAAAAAAGAAAATTAAAATCTAAGAATTACATAGAGAATAGATTGCGTTTTAGGATTTAAAAAATAAACTCTAACAAATACCAAACTAATATATTGAAATTTCTCTGTAGCTTTTGCTTGATTTTTTGGAGCTTTTTGTTTTGTCATTGAGCTTTTTACGAAAGAAGAGAAAATTTTCTTTCAATTTAAATTGATGTCCTATGTTCATTCATGTTGTCTTTGCGAAAATGTGGCATGAATGAAATATAACTACATGATTTATAGGCTCAAATGCATATGTTGTTTTTGATTTTCTGTTCTTTATTTATACCTAGCATTCATGTTTGAGAAAAAATTGGCTGGCAGGAGGTATTTATCCAAATAAGATGGTGGCTCAAAATGCATCTGCTGTTTATTGGCTTTCTATTCTTTATATATATATCCAACATTAATGTTTGAGAAAAAGTTGAATGGCAAGAGGTATTATTCAAATATATTGGTGGCTTAAACTTAGGAGTAGG